CCCCCCCCACACACACACACACACACACACACAGATTTTCTCAAACTGTAATTGATATGAAAGGCATTACACAAGCATCCCATACTTCATCTGGAAAACACTTGTTTAATGGATAATTCAGAGATTTTGTTGACTTGTCTTTCCTCAGTTTAAAAAAAAGTAATTTACAATAACTATTTGATCAAAGGTATCTGGTACTTTACAAGGTACATGTGTACCAATTAAGACTGATGTGTTCAGTTATTATTTTAAGATGAGTGAAAGTAATGGTATTGAAAAGTAACAATATTTTATCTGTTATTTTGTTGAAATTTCTACAAATTCTGAAACCCAACTGCATAGTACCCCTTGTTACTCATGTATTAAATTACTGGATATGTTTTATTTAGATTGTCTCAAGAAAATATATTTCTAAATAATGATTTGGTGTCATGTAAGGATGTGGATTGATACTGTTGTTGCAATTATATATATCGGATGAAACACGCATCATACAAAAATAGGATTTTAACTTCTGGTACCTTGGCTCAAGATAAAGCTGATAGTTAGGAGGAGATTCTGAATGGATTATATTAAGGTTTTTCCAAGTAACAGAAATGATATGCAGATTATTCTACTTGATCCAGATCAGTAGTATTTCATTTTGATGAATATCTGGATTTTTTGCAGATGTATTTTTTAGTTTGGTTAATAAGATTTTACTGCAGGAGACTTAATTAAGTCTGTGCATTGCTCTCTGGCAGGAGGTTAAGCCACTTATTAGTTTTAAGCTAGAATCTAAGCCTTGAGCCAGAACTTAAAATCCCTAACTTTTTTCTTTGATTTAGAGCCAGAAGTTAGAATTGCTGACTTTTTTCTACTTAAAATAATTTTTTCTGGCTTTTATGTATCTTAATTTAGTTATTTGGCTATAGAAATTTTGTTAAATCACTATTAATGCATGTTAAAATTATTGTCAGTGATGTTACATTGTCATATCATGTTTGTTACACTCAGTTCATATGCAGATAAGAGATTATAAAGTAAGCTCTTGATAAGCTGAGTCTTTGGTCTTGCATAGTTTCTACCTAGAACTTTCATTGACCTTTTCAGTCTGTTGTGAATATATCACATTTGGTTTCCAGTATGACCTTTTAATGAAGTTCTGTCATGAATCTTAATAGTTTTAAGTTAATGATTGTTATCAGGATCATGTATCCAAAAAGTTTTTTTTTAAAGATATTCATATTTAATACCATTTATTCACATTTTTTAATAACTGAAAAGCACATTAGACAGCAAACTATTGAAGAGAATCCCAATCTCCCTTTTTGTTTGATAGAAAGTTGTGAGATTTTTATTTTGTGTGGCCCATTTCCACATTGTTTTAATACTAATGAATGCTCTGTTGACCTGTTAAACTTTGAAATCAAAAATGTCACCCAGAATATCTTTCTCAGAAAAATGTAATCCATAAATAAAGTGCATTCATATTTTATCATTTGTACCTGGTAACATGCATTTTGCGATTAGTTAATATCAAGCTATGTATTCCCATCTTAAATGACAGTTTGATGGGCAAGTATGAATAATTATAGCTTGGTTCCTAGAAATTTGACAAAATAAAGTAAATGCCAAAGATGCGTGCTTCTGATGAGGCAAACAAATAAAGACAATTTTAGCTCACACAATGAATAATTCATTTTATTGCCAGTATTGTGCGTGTTGAGAAGTTTGATCTTTGTCATTTTGTCTCTATATATACATGAATCTTATCTTGTTTTTGCACTTTTTCAGGTTTCCATTTGTACCATTGTGCAGTCAACTCGGAACATGGTGCCGTTTGATACAGTAGACTACGTAATCAGCCTTGGGCTTGTGAGGCATTGGCAATGAGTTTTTAGCAGACGACAGGTTTTTCATTTAACTGTGAGGTCAACTTTGACAAGAACGCAGATTAAATTGTTATGAGATATGCTTCTGAAAATCAGAACACCAAGTATATGGCCAAGGAAGGAACAAGTTATTTGAAATTTTTAAGCATTGCAACAGCTCTTTGAAGATGTGTTGAGAGCACTGCGCTTCAATCTCTGTGCTAGAGCTATGCTCAACACCACGCCCACTCAAGCATTTAGCAAGACAAGCCTAAGACATTTTCCAAACAGTACTGTTTTAACAACATGGAGTGCAGAATTGCAGACTACTGACTCATTTGGTAATGTTTTTGTTGTGAATACATCTTTTGTCAATGACTCTTTGGTGGGGTTCAGCACATTGGATTTGGACAATAAATCGAATACTGGCAGAAGCAATATTAGTCATCAACAGGAATTTGGTTCTCTGGAACAACAGATCGCTGGGATTGTTTTACTGGTGTTTGCAGTAGTTGCAGTTGTATTGAACAGTGCCATTTTAATGGCAGCAAAATTCACAACAGGAGGCCGGAGTCCCACACTTATCTTCATACGCAGTTTGTGCGTGGCGGACATTTTGGCTGGCGTGTTTGGTATCACCAAACATTTTTTCATCCAGTTTGGTGAGGTTGGCAAAAACAATCTTTTCCTTGGAGAAAGTGTGCTGTTTTGTTCCATGGTTGCTTCCTGTTGCATGGTGCTGGGACTGTCTTGGGAAAGCTATCTGCGCATAGCTTACCCGTTAGAATATGTGAAACATATACAGAAACACATTGTGATAGGAACTGTAGTATTCTCGTGGAACTGTGCCTTCGTCTTCGGATTTGCACCTCAGATGGGGTGGAGCAACTCGGAGAATTACTCCTCTGAAAAATTCTATGAATTCTATACCTATTCTTACTTGATCTCATTCGTAATTGCCTATTTTGTGTTTATACTGATTACTGTGGCATTGCATTTGAAAATTAGTGCCTTAGTGAGGCAACTACAGAAGACTGACCATCACTTGGCTCAGTTTAGTAGAGAATGTAGGCGGAGTATTAAATTTGTCAAACTGACAGTGGGAAATGCAATTATTTTATTTATATCCTATACGCCATTGCTCATGTATATACTGTTACGCGTTGCTACCAATTTTTCTGGTTTGACAGAAACTATTCATCTCTATCTATATCCAGGGGTTTTGTTGAAGTCTGTGGCTTCACCATTACTAAATGGCGTAAACATCAAACAAATCCGCCATGTTTTGGCCGACTGCTGCCTAAGACTTATTCTGAGACGTTTCACTGGAACTAGTCTGCAACATCGGAAATTCCATCAGAATTCCTCATCGTCCTCAGCCTCTTTATCCATTGTCAGTCGCAAAAGTTCCACACAAGAGCACACAAGTACTCATTCAAATGGAAAAGCTGGCAGCAGCATATACACCATACCTCACTGCGATAGTTATAATGAAAACATTGAAGGTGATGGCATATTGACTAATGGTCGGATGAGGTCACAAAGTTTATGTTTATCCTGTGATAGGCCAAATCCTAATCGTCTGCAGGTTTCGCAACACAGATGCTGCCATCGTTCTGTGTCAAACGGTACCTTGCAGACTGAAGTATCACTTAGCAGTTCAGGTAGTGATATTGGCGCAGCTTTGTCAATAGCAGTACCAGAACAGTTGAGTGGAAAAGACAGCTATGAAAAGGGGTTAAGACGGAACAAGAAACATCACTCTTCTGACAACAGTATTCAGTCGTATGCTCCAAAAATAAATAGTTCCAAATTAGGATCTGTAGATAAGTTACCAGTTCACGGGACCAATTCAGATAGTGCGTCATATAATAAGTCGTCTCGCCCCAAGCGTAGGGTCAGTTTTTCTGACCTGCTTTCTTACCAGGGAGATTCCACAGTTATAGTGCACAAAACTCTGGCATCTGCTTGTAGTAACTTACCCCTAACAAGTAATGAAATCATAGAAGAGACTCCGCTTTAGTGGACAGGTTGTCTTTCAGGTTGCTTGAAAAATTTTATTTCCATTTGCAATGTATTGTGGGTAATATCTGAAAAAAGGTAATCTTATTTCCCAAAGCAGTGCTTTGTTAATGACACCTTCAGAGGACATCACAGAAGTTCTTATAAGCTAAAGATTTAGGATCTTTATAGTATTACTTTTTGCAAATGGGAGGCAAAGAGGACTTTATAGAGATGGAGCATTGAGATTAGTGTGGTGTTTGTCCATGAATTAAGCCTTTTTTGCATTGTACAGTCCACTTCAGTGATACAGCTGCTGTACCAGGCCTACCCAACTACCAGACTTGGCACCAAATGATCCCAAATTCACCGGTAGATCGGACCCCGTTTTTGAGGTGTGTGCCAGTACGCATTTCACAGTATTGTACGCCGGAACAAATATTGAGATAAGATGCACTACTTTCTAACCCTGCTGAGAATCATTACTATCACATCACGTACTAGGCAAGAGCAGTGCCGCGTCTGATACTTTGAAGCGCATATTGATGCACACCTTGAAAACGGGTAGTGTGGTCCGATATATGGGTGAATTCAGGATCATTCAGTGCTGAGCCGGGTAGTTGGGTAGGCCTGTGTACTAATGCATTTTGAGAGATTGACATCTACAAAAGAGAGCCCTCTGAAAGGAGTTCTCATGCTCAATATGTCCAGTTATAAACTTAAAGGTACTTTATACTGAATTTACCCACAAAACAATTTTCTCCTACTCACAAGTCATTGTTCATCTCTGCATTTGGTTTTGATGTTTTATTCCAGTTAAAATTAAATGATTTAGTTCTAAATGACTTTCATAAATGACTAAATTTTCAAGCACGTACACTGCACCTTGAAGTAAGAGCAATGAGGGCACTGAGGTAGAACTTGTGCAGCGTAATTACATGTTAACACCTCTCAAAACGTTACAGTACAGCTGCGTCACTCAGGTATACATCTCAGTGTGTAAAGGAGAAAGAATCCTTTTGGATATTTTAGACAAAACATTTCATGAAAATAAGTGAAAAGAAATGAGGACAGAAGTTTGAAAAATGATTATATGCAATTTGTGACAGTACTAAAAGATGAGAGCATTATATATGACCAAATTGTAAAGAATACATATTTATTTTGATTTATTTCAAGTGTTTGCTTTTCTGTCTGTGTGGATATGAGCTGGGCATTTACTATGCCACTTAAGCAGAGCTGATATTTTCTTAACTAATCATACACAAATTTCAAAATTTTGTATGTATTTGCCCATGTGTAATAAAAATTTCACATGTTAAGTAAAAATGTTAGTTGTGGCTTAATTAATGGTGAAGTTTATTCATATAAAATGAGATAAAGTCTTTCTGTTAAAAAAAAAAACATTATTTGGGTGGGTGGGGGAGAGAAATTGGTTCCAATTGAATTTTATTGATTCAGAAGCAATTCAAACTGCAAGGGCTTCTTCTTGAGTATTGTGCAGAGAGAGGTAGGTTTATGGACATCAACCAAGGTAGCCTAGAAGAGGTTAGATTTTCAGGTTCACATTGATGGATATCTAATTTCTTCTGTGTCGGAAGATGGCCTGAAACCAACAAATTTTACTACTGTAACAAATAATTAAGTTTATTTATCTTCCACAGCGTTAATTTTCTTCTTTGCACTTTCCAAACAAATTAAGGAAAAAAACGGGGGTTATCCATCTGTGTGGTGCTAAGGTAGGTCTCCATCCACTGCAGTATGCACCAGAGCTTGCTTAACACCAATCATTTCTCGGCTGTAATATTCATTACAATGGGCATAAAACTACAGCTGAAAAAATCAGAATTTGCAGAAAATGATTGCAAATGACTAGAAATTATCATTTTATTCACTTTCTGCTCCACAAAGTGTATTAAACTTGAAATGCATAATCATTTATTCACTAATATAGGCAATGATACAATGCAACAAATACAAAATTTGAAGCCAAATATTTATGAGGTTAAAAAAAATGTGGCTACATTTGCCAGTGATCTTGGTTAAAATGATTATAAGCTTGTGAGTACAAGTTGATGATTATCCGCTGACTCAAAAAACATGCTTCTATTTACGAGTTCTACTATCTATGCCTGTAAAAAGTTTTGATCTTGTTTCTGGGACATTTATTTAAGTAGCAGAAATTTTGAGTAAACACCCAAACAAGCCCACACAATTATAAAGTTTATTCATGCCACAATTTCTGTTTCCGCCAATGATTGAAGTGAACTGGGTGTTTTCCATAGTGCTGCCTATCCATGCAGAAAGACTAGAATTAAGGCATTCATTATATATCTTTGCCAACGAAGAAGGTTATGTTTTTGTCAATGTTGATTAATTGTACATGTGCTTGTTTGTTAATGGACAAGCTCTACACAAATTTTAATAAAATCTGCAGGATATACAATTGGGGAAAGAATTGTTTATAATTTCAGTGAAAACCTGGTCTCCTTGTGCTGTATTTTTTAACAATTTTCTCTCCGTTATCCCTTTACGTAAAGCAGCCTCTGTCAGTGATTCAAGTTTGGAATTGGAGCATGGTTCCACAGTCTGTAGTTTTAGCAGTGCTGTCATTCAACACAAAGCTTTTAGATATAAAAGACTTAACAAAAAATAAGGATTGGTCATGAATGTTTAGGTGATATATATGTGTGCAAAACAACATGGCAAGTATTGATGGGCCGGGAATGCATTGGGGCCTGGTTAACATCTCCCTCATCAAGGGAAGCCTCTTTGCACAATGTCTCTTGGAAAAAAAAGATTAATTGCTTCTCTAACCTTGACATGTTTACATCCATTGTGATGTGTTTTAGCACTAGAAAACAGGATAAAGATGTACTTTTTAAAGGAAAATATAATTAACAAACAGTACAACCCAACCCAATGTGTGTTTTGGCTTTGTTGTGGCAATTCCTCAATCGTTTCGTTTATAGAATCATTATGGCAATAAACCACATTACATCAACCTGTCACATATCCATTGGAAGGTAATAACCCTATCTAAGATTTATTGGGCTCAGTTCTGAAGGTGATCATTGAATATGTATTATGCTGTACCAACACATGAAATAATTCATGATTACATTTAGGGCCAACAAGTGCATTTTATATCTCCACCATCTCTCTCCCAATGTGTCAAGGTTAAGTTCTGCTGAACCAAATATATCATGAAATTAAGACATGGTACCTGTGTTTAAACTTGGCAATGTTGCTCACTGAAATTTCTTTGTCAATATGGTGCACCATCAGTTATGCTGTTATGTTCACTACGATGCCCCCCTCCACTGGGGGTTTATTCGTCTTCATTTAAATGCTCAACCACCTTTTTGCATCCTTGGGTATAGGTTGGGAGCTTTTGACCTCATCATTTGCTGTTACAGTATTTAAATAAATAAAAACAGCTTGATATATACTGTCAAATGTTTTGAGAAAAGCCTTTCATTTGTGTTTGTTCCTATGCATTTCATTATTTATCAGTTAAGTGTGATGAACATGTTTATGTCACAGTCACAAGTATCCCCACTTAAAATAATGGCTTCATTGTTAATGTTGCATGTGCTTGTTTGTATACATTATGCAATAATTGTCAGATTAAGGGAAATGTTTTCATAGTGCTTTTTTTTTTAGAAAAATTGTTTTTTTTATGGGCCAACAAAAAGAAAACCCAACAGAAAGGACTTTAAGTGTATCTAGACTCTTTTGATGATATTTGGCAGAAAATCGAATATGAAATGTATGTACCTTTTTCGCAACAACAACATCAACAATAATAATAATGATAATTATTATTATTATAACTTTACAATGATTGTAATCCATTAGGTTGGAGTTGTGCGTAAAAGAATTGTAGCTATAGTCTTTTTTGGACAACATGCATACAAGGTGTTGACGCTCTCGCCTCCCTGGGAAGGATACATACAGCCCGACTGAGGTATGAGGATCTAACAAACAAACAATATCTTTTGCTGCTACACCAGGAGCTTTCCCCTGTTTCAACCCCTAAGAACTGAGTGCCAAGCAGGGAGACGGCAGGTACCATTGATGAAAAACTCATATGTCCCTGGACAGGGTTGTACCCACGTTCTCCTGCTCTGGAGGCAGATACTCTTACCACAAGGCCCTTCTGTTGGCCAAAACTAGCAACTCATTCAAATATGTGGATGACATTTCCCTCCTGATTATTTGTAATCCCATGACATCTTACAAATGGCAACAAATGAGGTCAAATGGTCAACCAACAAGAAAATGACAATAAATTCTAAGAAAACCAAGGCAATTGTATTTGACTTCTCAAGGTCATGCTATCATCTTTCTCCAATGTGTGTGTGCGTGTGTGTGTGTGCGTGTACATACGTGACAAAGAAATTGAAAGGGTGAAATCTGACAGATGTGCATAATTTAAGTATTTTCTTCCAAGCAACTGACTTTAGTTGAATGTTGCAGTTATTTGAGAAAAATTCACTGGAAATGGGAGCATTCTTGTTATGTGTCTGTTTTTGTGTACATGCCTTTGTCAGCCCTCAATTTTGTCTACCAGTAAAACAATGATTTATGTAATTGATAATTTCCAATCTTCAAAACAGTTGATGAATAATATATATCCTAAAACAATTTTTGTCAATTTTTAAAAGTTTGAATCAATTAGTCATGAATTCAATTAATTTTTTAATGTATTCATTTTTTTGCATAATTTATTAATTTTTTTTTCATTTTTCAAAGATTGAGTATACTTTTCTTTAGCAAAAATCATGTATCGCACTTAATTTTGATTGTTTTTATAGTAATATATTTACTTTTTACATCTCTAGCTTCATATGAAGAAAAGATGCCATGCAAATTCTTCATGACCCCAGAAGGCTGTTGGAGAGGACAAGAGTGCCCCTTTCCACATGTGGCTCCTGGGTCAGGTAAGATGTGATAAACAGTCATGATCTTCTTTTACTTGGTACAAAGGTTTTTTTATTGGCTGTAACTTCAGATTATTTTGGATTAGTTTAAAGTCCATGAGTTGGTAACCCTCTGTCATCTACTGGGCACAAATTTTCCTTAGCTAGCTGCTCTACCCTTTACATGGGACACAGTTATTATTATGTGGACCTTTTTGCTAAAGTGACCCTGTAACTTTTGGCAATGTGGAAGCAATTACATTTGTATAGCTGCGCCAAGTATAAAAAAACAGCCCATGGGTGAAAGATTTTATGCAGCTTTTAAGTTATGGTACTTGTTCACAGAGTGCAGTAACAAAAGTAACAGATCTCATAAGGTGATAGTCAATTTTTAGCTGTTTTACATTGATTTTACATTTATTCAGCTATTCTGAAATTCCCTAATGAAGAGCCAGGGTATAGGGATTTTATGTATAAGAGTAGTACGAATCTGACCTCTGTCACCACCCTGAGTATTTAGAAATATAGATCCTGAAAATCCCCTTTGATACGTATTATTATATGCATAGAGGTTAGTTTCTGTTAATCTGTGAATTTTGGGGTACCTAATCATTGGTTTATGACAGAATGATCAAAATTTGATCCATCCATATGCCTCTTTGGGAAAAGCTTTTGTTGGAATCCAGATGTATTTGTCTTCTCTCATGACTGGGGGGGGGGGGGTAATTTTGAAACTGTTGGAGACTTTTTTATTTCTCTGTGTAAAAGATTATAAAAGACAAAATGTGAAAAAAACAGGAAATGAAGGGGAGGGGGACCTTTTACTTCTACATATTTTTCTATCCCTGCCTAGCACTTTCACTGCTTCCTGGCAGAAGAACCCATACAATGTACGTAAGCAATTCCTTTTCAGCATCTGTATTATGATTTTTGTTTTCATTCAGTTCAGCATTAAAAGAACGTGTTTCATAGGTTTTCTCTTTACTGTCAGTTACAATTAAATGTATCTTTCAGATGAATTCATTTTGATATATACCTCTCAGACTTATAGATACAAGAGACACCCCAGGTTCACACCTACATGTAATTCACCCTTAAATAACAATTTTTTAAACTTGAATTCAGTTACACTTGTATGTTATACATTGTAAATGGTCACGCCTTTGTGTTAACAAATCATACCAAAAAATATTTTGACTAGGACAAAGTACCATGACAAATTTGTGTCAAAACAACCAGTTGATTAGTTATGCAAATGTTCAGACGTGCCAGGATTGTATAAGGCCATCCCCCCTCCCCCCCCCCCCCCCCCCATAATTTTTAAGGGGTCATTGTCTTGTATAGTTATTTAACTATACCTGTTTGCATAACCATGAATGTATGTGGTAAGGTGAGGTGGCAATATTTCCAATAAAATTGGTCTAAGTGTTAACCTTAACTTGTCAATGTGTGATGGCAATAAGCCAAGTAAACTGTGGCAGTGGGCCAAATGATTTTCTGCCCAAGCTATTTCATAATTTTTTCTATCATGCCTGTATTTTCTATTGTACAACATACCCACCTGTGAATTGTAAGTATCTAGGCTATTAGTATGATTGGATTGTAGAGGAACAATTAATTCGACCATGAGGGAGATATTGTGTGACAAATTGATTTTACATAGAGAACATCTGTATGTGCAATTAAAGGTAGTTTCTATGGAAGTGTAGGTGTCATGAGACATATAACTAGCGTGGTGAGCCATCATAACTAAAGTCTAAATTACCTGTTTCACATGAATATAATACAGTTCAAAGCTATTGTAGGTGAAAATTGCCAGTTTAATATGTAATAGGAATAAAAGTGGAGTTGGGCTGTTTTTTTCCAGTCTGTGCGTGTAAGAATGACTTTATTTCAGCTGCTGGCTCATCAGTAATACTCATTGTCTCTGTTGCCATTAAGTATTTAATGGAAGAGGCTGACTCCCACACTGTAGATAAATATAAGGTCGATGGGTATGATAGAAGTCAAAAGAGGATATTTTACCAAGAGTAATATATTCCATGATTGTTTCTGCAAGTTTGTTTCGCTTTTGAAAAGAACAATTATTGTGTTCATGTGTTTTGTGTGTGTATTGGATGAATTGAAAAAAGAAAAAAATGGCCCAGACCTTATAGTTGTATTTCTTGAGGACTAACCACTAAATTGAAATGGCGACAAGGCACTTGATGTGCTACATGATGTTATTTCAAGCACGTTAAAAGTTCCACTCAAAATTAAGCTTATGCATCCTCCATTTAGCATTCAATGTTATTTCAAGCACGTTAAAAGTTCCACTCAAAATTAAGCTTATGCATCCTCCATTTAGCATTCAATACAAAAAGTCCAAAAATGTTTGCCATGACTGTTCTTTTTTAAATGGATGATGGCCATCTTCTCAAATGTGCACAATATTTAAATTTTTTCTGTGTAATGATAAGATGATAAGAATATGTTCCAATTTTTTATGTACAGACACAGATGTGTCTGTACATATTGCCATCACCTGCGTCTGTCGTCGCCGATGCCGGCGCCGTGCACTTTCCTTGTTAACACGATAAGTGGAGGGCAGTTTTACTTTTTGGCTTTATATTTACAGAGCTGATGAATATTCATAAAACGCAGGTCAAGTTCGAAAATCAGCATGATCTGGCCATTATTGTAGAAGTTATGCTGTTTTTTCACTTTTCAGCATATTTTCACATTTCCTCAGATTCAATTCTTAGGCATGTTAACAGTTTCATTATTTAATTAATAAGATATGTAAAAGTGTTTGTTTGACATTTCCTGCATCTTTACAACATTGTTAGTTGATTTTGTAAAAATGATGGTAAACTTGTTATCGTGTATTGTGTAATAAAGTTTCAAAAATGGAAATAAACTCATATCATTGCAGTTTGTCAGATTCAATCATTCACTATGTTCAGAATCTCAGAATGGAAGAAATTGGACATTTAACACTGCTCTATTGATATTTTTCCCATCTCATCAATTTTCTTAGTTGATCATATAAAAATGGCAGTAAACTGTTAATTTTGTTTTATGTTAAAAATTGTTAAAAATGGAAAAAAAAACATTTCAGAACAGTGCTGTCTTGTTTACATTTTGGCATTTTCAAGTTGTGACTTTGAAGTTCCATGGGCCTGAAGACCTTTGCTAGTCACATTTTCTGAATATCCATGATACTAATATTTTATTATTAAAAATTGATGGTCATTATGCTGTTAAACATTATGTAATATTGCATCAAAATTTGAAAAAAACCTATTTTGGGCACTGCTCCCATGATGACCATTTAAGAAAAACCATGTCACTTACTGTTCTCAAACAGTACAGTAAATATATATAGATGTGTCTGTACATATTGCCATCACCTGCATCTGTCGTCCCCGTCATCGCCGTCGCCGGCGCCGTGCACTTTCATTGTAAACACGATAAGTGGAAGGCAGTTTTACTTTTTGGCTTTATATTTACAGAGCTGATGAATATTCATAAAACGCAGGTCAAGTTCGAAAATCAGCATGATCGGGCCATTATTGTAGAAGTTATGCTGTTTTTTCACTTTTCAGCATATTTTTCACATTTCCTCAGATTCAATTCTTAGGCATGTTAACAGTCTCATTATTAAACTAATAAGATACGTAAAAGTTTTTGTTTGACATTTCCTGCATCTTTACAACATTGTTAGTTGATTTTGTAAAAATGATGGTAAACTTGTTATCGTGTATTGTGTAATAAAGTTTCAAAAATGGAAATAAACTCATATCATTGCAGTTTGTCAGATTCAATCATTCACTATGTTCAGAATCTCAGAATGGAAGAAATTGGACATTTAACACTGCTCTATTGATATTTTTCCCATCTCATCAATTTTCTTAGTTGATCATATAAAAATGGCAGTAAACTGTTAATTTTGTTTTATGTTAAAAATTGTTAAAAATGGAAAAAAAAAAAAACATTTCAGAACAGTGCTGTCTTGTTTACATTTTGGCATTTTCAAGTTGTGACTTTGAAGTTCCATGGGCCTGAAGACCTTTGCTAGTTACGTTTTCTGAATGTCCATGATACTAATATTTTATTATTAAAAATTGATGGTCATTATGCTGTTAAACATTATGTAATATTGCATCAAAATTTTGAAAAAAAAACTATTTGGGGCACTGCTCCCATGATGACCATTTAAGAAAAATCATGTTACTTACTGTTCTCAATCTTACAGGAAAGAAACATGGGACTAAAATACAGCTTCAGTAGGCAATGCAGTCTGTTTGGTAATTCTTTCTGCCAGTTAAACAGTTTTTTTGTGAAAATTTAATTTTTCACATATTGGCATTTTCAAGGTGTGACTTTGAAGTTCCACGGGCTTGTCAAACTTTCAAAAAAGAAATACAGGACTAAAATGCAGCCTGAGTTGGAAAAGCAGTCTAATTGGCTTCTTTTTCTGGAAGTTATACATTTTCAAACTGTGAACTTGTACTCCCATGGGCCTGAAGCCTTATGCTTGTTACACATTTTACCTACATTGGTATTACCTGTTGAGCATAATTAAAATTTGATGTTGAATTTGCAGTTTAACATAATGTACTTTTGCATCAGAATTGACAGTAGCCTATTTTGTGCATAGTTATTTCCTGCTTTTTGTCTATACATTTGACAGCTTTGCTGCCTTGTAATAATGAGAATGTATTTTACATGTATTTCATATGAAAAAATTAAGGTTTTTGCTCTTTAAATTTTTTTTCAGTTGTGACAGAAGAGCACAGGGAAGTGTTCAGTGTAGAGGATGTAGAAAACACTGTCTGTCCCGCAGAAAACAGTTGGGTTGCCGTGGAGATCACATCACTGTACAACCCCAGTCATTTTTACGTCACCTTTCCATTTGGGACCAGACCACTTCAGCATTTTATCTCAAATGAGCTTAGTGATGGTACTGGATTTAAACTTTGTTTTGTCCATGTGCATTGATCATAATTGGGTCAAATTTGACTGTGCCTATTTTACTGGATTTGAAACAGTAACTATGTATTAGTCATGTGATAGATGTTATTTTTAATTTAAGAAATATGCACATATCTTTCATTTTGTTACTGGATTTTGATGTTGTCTTCCAAAGAAGGTTAAGACTTTATATATTGTAATTTATTTTTGTAATGAAGAAACATTTTAGTTGCATTAGGTCAAGAAAGTTTACTTCAAGCATGACATTTGAATTAGGATTATGTGAACGGGAAAAGTAATTGTGGTTGTATATACAAATAATGTGTTAGTTTAGAAAGTAAAGGTGGCTGTGTTAACAATGTAGTGTTAGTTGTGTTAGTTAAGATGATTAAGGTGGTTGTAAAAACAGGGCATGTGTTAGTTAAGATGTTAAAGGTGGTTGTAAAAATTAAAAATGTGTTAGTTTAGATGTTAAAGGTGATTGTGAAAACAAGGAGTGTGTCAGTTGAACGATAAAGGAGTTGTGGAAACTGTGTTCTAGTTGAACCACAGAGTAGTAATTGAAGGTATTAATTTTTACCAACAAGAGATGGCTGCTGAATAAACGGATTTTGAAAATGTATAAGGCATGGGGTTGTCAGATCCTGGGAGTATTGCTGCATGTTATTTGCACAAAATACTCTATATAGGTATATATTTTGATTTGGTTTTCTACAACTTTAATTTCATGCTCAGTGCCATGTTTGTCTTATTCTTATACTGCATTTTCAAAGATTTATGTTCTTATTTTAGATGGGTATGAAGGCAGCATTGGTTCAGAAGCACTGGAGTTACTGATGGAGGAAATCAAGTGAGTAGAATACTTAACAGGTGGCTGTTAACACTCACAAGGTGATAGCTAGCACCAAGAAAGGCTTATAGTTAAGCTATTTTCTAGTATGCCTGGAAATATGTGGAAAATTTTATTTGAGCATCATCAGTTGCATGTACAATCGTATTCAATAATTGTCAAAGTAAGCCTTGTCCAATGTGTGAAAAACTTGTCCATGTTTCGATGAATTCTATATTTTTTTACTAATATTTTTCAGTGAAGACTACTCCAGCTCTGTGTACAGAGACACTGACCTAGTGGGTCATGCCTGTGGTGAGATCGTGGTCGCTCAGTTTAGTGATGATGACCTTTGGTACCGTGCAAAGGTCATTGACACAGACATGGAGAATGAAAAAGTAGAGGTAAAAGCTGTATTTTATAAAGATAGGGATAGACAGATCACCAAGCTGATTGAAGAGTTCATATGTGTTGTACAGTCGTGTTTTGTTTAGAATTCGATAATTAGAATATTTCATATTAAATGGAAATTAATGCCATGCATGAATATTTTACATTTTATTGCTGCATGCACAAATGTTTGTTTATATGTGATTCCATACCCTTATTAATATTATAGAATTTTACCTTTACTGTACATTTATATATTTATACAGTCATGTTTTAAGAAGAAAGGATATCCACCAGAGATACTTTCTAGGCATGTGTTTTAAAAAATTAGTTTTAAAAAATGATAATCATGTTTCAGGTTTTCTACATGGACTTTGGCAACACAGAGTGGGTATCAGAGAGCAGGCTGCGGACAATAAAGAAGCACTATCTGGAGCTGCCATTCCAGGCTGTGGAGTGTTTCCTGGCCGGAGTAGAGGCCACCAGCGAGGACGGGACTTGGACCAGAGAGGGAAAGTAGGGAACAAGTTTTAAGCCTATCAAAAAGATTTTTTAAAAGTATTTTTATCATAATTAATCATCCTCATGCAGCTAAAACTGCAAGTTTTTGAAAACAGTGAAAAAATAAATAAATTCACGTATATTTACTGAAATAAATAGTTTTTTGCCCACTCTTTTTTGTTTCAGAGAGCATTTTAGTCAGACGACAGATGGAAAAGTGTTGTTTGCAAAAGTAGTCAAAAGGTAAGGCTGCAGAACTTACAAGTAGTGTTTCTACTTAATCTGCTAACAGTAGACACTATAATACTTCATGCTTATTCTGTATTTTAATTTATTATGTCATTTGTCAGAGTAGGAACTAAAGCCAGTTATAATTTTGCATTTCTAATCTCCAATAGAAAATCCATTTCCAGTAGCTATTTTCCCTCAGGTTGAGTTAAACTATGCAGTTTTAAATTTTATGTAGTAAATTATTTATATCTACACCTTCTTTCTTTCCTCTGTTTTAATGTGAAATTCAATGGTGAAATTCAATTGAAATCCTCTCATTGCACCCTGAGATTCAGAGTTTACTAGAAACTCAAACACCTCTTTTTACTGGAAATGTCAGTGCCTTGGATATATACTGATGAAAGAGATCAGGTGCCAGTAAACGCAATTGTCTCCTTGGCCCATCTTACCAATTTGATTGCTCTACATTTTCAGGTTCAGCAACTGCGCCATTCAGGTCCAATTGTACGACAGCTCTGGAGAGACGGATGTGAATATAGCCGATGCCCTGGTGGAGTCAGGGTACGCTAAGAGAACAACAGATACTGTTTCTCCCTCTTCTCCCAAAGGTAACCAAGGCCTCAAGGAGAAGATAGTGTCGTGGGTGCCAGGATGAATTGGGTTTGGTTCAACTTTTTAAGCTTTTTTAGTCCACTTTTTTTTAAAGAAAATTAGCTTACAGTCAAGTAAAAGTTGTTAGATTCCAAAGTTCCTTAGGATTAAAATGTTATATTGGTCTATAAGTGCAAGTAATTTAGTTTTCTTTATAGGTGCAAATAATGTTTTTTTTTTCTTTATTACACTTTAGTCCAAATATACACTTATGTTTAAAGACATTGAGTGAACATTAATGTTTGAAACATTTTTTGTAGAAAATTATCTTAGATGCTAAAGGAAAAATTGTCAATTTAAAAATGTAGAAAGCAATTTTGAGTAGTACTTAGTAAACTGTTAGTTCATTTGCATTATAGGAACTTACCTCTGGGTAAATCAACCCAACTTCTGTGCCAAAAAAAAATTGCCATTGGGGCAACTGAGTAATCTTTTCAAACAACTTATAAACTTGTACCAGGCAGTATTAAGTGTATTGTTGCTACTAAATTTTGTTGATTTTCAAATAAAAACTGTTTAAATGTACATCTTGTGATGTCTTATAGATTTTACATAGTATGGGGTAACTTAAAATCCACTCCAACATTGGCAGATCAGAGATTTTGCACAAGAATCAAGTTTTTGTCTTGCCTCAAACAGAAGAAGATTGCAGTTTCACTATAAGAATTGGTTTTGTCTTGTTTTGCTTGATTGTGTAATTGGGGGAGGGGGGGGGAGGGGAGAGGAGATACTTTCGGAGTTAAGAGAATTAAGAAGCCTCTGAACTTAAGAAGTTGTCATGTCGATCACAAATTTCCAACCAAAACCTGTCAAAATCAAAAAGTCAGTACATGTACCTGCCTTTTCTGTCCAGTGATGTGATCATTGTCCTTGGTCCAAAACCTCACAATCGGTTTACTCTCAAAAAATCATGTTGCCATGGTTATGGAGAAAATTGAATTTCTGACTAATTATAGAAAATTGAATTTCTGACTAATTACATTAAATTGTTGGAGCTGAAAACGTTGAAACTGACAGCTATTATAGAATTAAGCCTTGATTTTGTTTTGAGATCACAAAAACATAAACAGTAGAAGTTTTAAATTATTATTATTATTATTTTTTTTTTTTTTTTTGTATCATACCAATCTGTTGAATATTATCAAATAAATAAACAGACCATTGCAGTAATATTTATTTCAAAACTAGGTATTCTGTGCAAAAAGAAATATACAGAATTATGTCAATCAGTTGACATTTCATACATCAACATGTACATCATCGCACAATCCAAGAATAATTCAAATACTTTTTTTTTGAAAACTCTTTATTTATCACTTTAACAATATGTTGACAGCTACAATATGGTATATACCGCCTAGCAAAAGACTTATTTATACAGGCCATTCACTGCAGAAATAAAACATTGTGGCACAGATGCACTGTATTAGGTAGGTTTCTAAGACTATGGTACAATTATAATTACAGTATACTGCCCAGAATATTACTTCTAGATGGTACAAAATACTTCTGAATCAATAACAAATTCGCTTTGGCACATAAAAGGGATGGATGATTTTTTAATATTAAAGACATAGTTTCTGCTATAGCTGACATCAAATATGGACTTTCATTAAAACAATTTTTTTCAAGCATCATTTTCTATCATTTAGGAAAAATTATTTCAAAGTACTAACCTTCCACATAATACAAGCAAGTAATCATACCACCAACTTGACACTATAGACAACATTCTTCAAATTAAAAAAAAATAAAGGTATTTACACAAGTTCCATGATCAAACAAAAGAATCAGAAATATGCATAAAATACAGGAAGTATAGCATGTAACAATGAATACATTTTATTTAAGTTGAGGGAAACTTATTGCAGGAAGTATGATTAGATAAAATATTTTTTTAACAAAAAAAAAAAATACTGGGAATTGTGTGGATAGCAATAAAACCTACATGGTAAGCTACAGGTTATGCAAAAATAAGTTTTTTTTATTTCTGTATACCTTTATACTTCATGTATGTCTTTTTTTTTTAATTCTTTTTTAAATACTAGACTGGCTATCTGAATATCTATAGTTAATGTGTAGAAGCTGTAAAATTTACACATTATTGCTATTTACATGCATAACTTGTCTAGCAATAATGTGAACTTAGTAAATTAATCTATAATCCTTTCTTTGACTGGATACCTATAAAACGCAATCAACTATATTTAATTTTTTGTACAAAACAAATGATCATCTTAAGAAGCAATCATCTCTCCAAGTCATCAATGACTGTCTAATTTAAATAATGTTATTAGTTATAAAAGGCAATCTCTAATAAAAAGTAACCTGCCTACACCCCGAGGCACAGAGCATTAAAAAGGACTCTCTACTGCCTGCTGGTTACAGGGAAGAGTTCCTAATAAACTCTGCCACACAGGTTGCCCATAATGTACCTAAGTTGTCTAAAAATCTTTTTTTCTTTTTTACGCAGCTAAAACTCCACAATACATTGGAATTGAGGTATAATTCGGCCTAAGACAAGGATACAACATCTATCCTGGTCTTGTAATGCTTCCTGGTTTCTCTGTGTGTGCAAAAAATACCGATTGTAGAATGTTACCTTATTTTATTGTTTCCATCATATCCATAACTACATGTTCACTGTAGTTCCTGACAGCCAAGCCAATATAACTACATCTGACTTTTCTCAAATTAATTTCACAGATTCAGCTGGCCCTTAGACGTATAAAACCATTTCATCCAAGGCTAGACCACAGTTAGTGGTTTAAACACCCTTACCAGGAATTGGTTTGCCTTGTCATTTCAACCTTTGGCTTTGGCCACAAATATCAAAGCATCTAAGAAACCAAGGTCAGATATCCAAAGGTCAAGGTCAGATATCTGAGGGTTCAAGGTCAGAGGTTATACACAGAGGGATGATTACAATGCTGAACAACTACTTTACAATCAGATAACATCAGAAATACATGTTACTGGTGTTTTCAAATTGGTATATTGAAGTTATTATAGAAGTATCTTACATAATAGTTTTTACAAAAGTATTAAGAAAAAAATGGTTCCATGTAGCAAAACAACTTCATTTTGATTATTAGTTCTCATGCAATCTTCTCATTGTTGGCATTCAGACATTTTACACTAACAAATGACATCAGACAACAAGTAGCCTCACAACACAAAGCTGTTTCATTGCATTGGTTTTAAATTATTATATTTATACTCACAAATTTCAAAAACATTACCCACACATTATATCATTTCAAGTATCATAATATTCTGTTATTCAAAAAAGGAATAAAAATATTATTTAAGCCACAGTCAGTTTTTCATGAAAATTTTTAGTACACACAAGAAAAAATTTTTCATTCTGAAATTATATAACTTCATAATATTGTGTGAATTTTGTGACAGAGAACAGTTTAGTTCTCAGATTACTATTCAACATAACACAAGTGGTGCATCTTACACCAACAGAATGACCTTTTTTAAATTGCAATTGATTTAAATTCCTAACAATAACCTAACGTTTTCTTTCAAATAAATTTGACTTCTAAATTCTTTCAAGGCAGAATATGAAGTTTCACTATAAACTTCCTTATTTTTGTTTGCCAGCTAGAAAATGTTACTTAAATGTCCAAGAACAATTCTCTGGTGACAAAATAAAGCTATTTTTGGATTTATCTGCTTGCTTATACTTTATGGCAGAATTGTTTCTTAATTTAAAGTTTAAGGTACATGTATATTTAGACCTCATTGGCTACAGTTTAGTATCCTCTACCTCCGGTTGTCAAGTTCTTCTGGGCTCAGTTCTGAGATGGGTACTACCCATCCATTGTTCTTCTCATCATCATCTGCAATAACATTGCCATTTCCATTGGGTGTCACTGCAGGGTTCGCCTTTTCTAACATAGGGGCTTCATCCCTGGTAATTTCCTCGTCTGGTATGGGGTTCTCATGTACCTCCTGCAGGGGTTTCTTAGTGCCTGCCTCCAAGTCGCCATCATCCTAACATAATATTAAATTGTGACTTTGTATCAATGCCTCAATGTTTTAGGAATTCTGTCTGTGTTTCATTTGATTTTTTAAAGATTATATGAGAAAATTCAATAAACGAGTATCTTTTGTTGCAAGAGGTTTTAAAAGCTATCACATATTACAACAAGAATACCAATTTGTTATATTTGACTTGATTAAGTTTGATTTCGCTGAGATGCGACTGCTCAGTGAAGCAGAACAGGAATTGGAAGTGCTAGGTGTAACTGTGTCAGATTTAATTGTGTTGAGATGTGACTTAAATATTTAATCAAGATTTGGCAAGAAATGTATTTGGTGTGACTGTCAGATTTGCTGGCATCAAGATTTGACCATTTATAAAGCAAGGTTTTGGAGAAATGTGGTGAGCTGTGACTTTCCACCAACCTTAAGGTAGCTCTTGTCCCTCTTCTGACAGCATCTGCATCTGCAACATCTACGGCACTTGAGCCAAATAATACCAACTATGATCACCACAATACACACACATGCCAGAACTGCCATGGCAATAAACAGTCCCATATGGGCCTCCAGGGGGGTCAAACGGCCACTGGCAGCCGCTGGTTTGGGTGCCGTAGTCGGGTAGAGGTCGTTAGGTAGGCCAGCATAAACATCCGTCACATTCAGATTAACCTGCAATACAAAACATGTGACTGGTAAGAGCGACTTACAATGATATTTACAGCTTTATTTTAACAGTTACTTTCTGTTAGTCCCATCATTTAAAATGTTCTCTTAACACAGACCAACAAACCTCTTTTGGTCATTCCTATCAAAGTACAAATCAAAAATGTTTAAGGCACCATTCCCATACACCCCATTGGTCTGGGTAGATTGATGTGGCTCTGTGGGGACTCTTGCTGAATGCAGTCAGTTTAACAAATTAACACACTTCTCCCGCATTAAATAGAATACAGAAAAGCTGGTGAATGAAACAACAAGAGACTTGTCTTTCAGTTAAGATGAGTGCACTCAGCAAAATCCCCAAAGATTGGATCAATATACATAGACCAATGGTGTCTGTTGGAATGGGATCAAACTCTGTCACACAGATTTGTTTTTCTCAAGTTAACATTTGTTAAATCTCTTACAAATAATTATTGCTTCTCAAGCGTTCTTGTTTTGGTCACTTACTTCCTTTTCTAATCTCCGTTTGTTTTCTAGCTGTGATAATAGATCCAGAAGTTTACCTCTTGGAAGTATTGTCTCTCCTTTAAATAACAGAGCAATGGTGCATAATAGCTTTAAGCAGTAAGTACAAAGTTATACAACCTTTCATAGGTCATATATGTTAATCATTATTATAAATATTGTTTGATATAAATAAATGTATAACAATACAAAATACTTCAAACCATTCCCACAGTTGGCCATGTCATGCAGATGAATTTACAACTGCATTACAGTGATCAAAAGACCAAGGAAATTAGGTTGGCTCCCTACATGTAGAAATAACAATCACCCTGTTAATAAGTTTTTCAATGTCTCACTCTAACAAACTTTAACAACTTTCTCACCTGTTCCATTGCTATTCCTGATGTATACAGCCACTTCCAACTCCCCATTCTTGTTCACCCTGGGCGTGGGATTAACAATGACTATGTCATCTAAATCCAACTTGTCACCATCTGCTCTCTTGCGTCTGCTCCTTGACTGATCTTTGAAGTAGTCATTCAAAATGGCCAACAAGGCCAGGCGAAATTGTTTTGCAAAGTCCTGTAACTGAATTGAAATTTTGATAAAAAAATAAAAAGTTAACAGTTAATTTTGTCATTAATATTGCACTATAGGATATATATTAATTTAAGATTCAGATTTGAAGTGTTATACAGATCATCTGAAATGTCTAGTAAACATATATACATTCATTAGGGGGGCCGTAGCAATAGTCCAAGGTTCATTGTTCTGGATGTTCACTATAGAACCTTTGGACCAATGAACCCTTGATTAAAAACGGATAAAAATGTTACCATTTTTTGGACCAATGAACCTTCAGACTATCGGGACGCCCCCTCATCAGGCAGATTATCAAAACCAATCACCATTTTCAAACCAGCCAATCGTACCCTTATGTTCTGCCAATTTTTCATCTAACTGCTCCCAACACAATGTCATGTCCCATCTACCACACTCCAATTTAATATCTTGTCACAGCCATCATACTACCTTGCTTTATCTTTACCACACCTAACGCAATCTTGCATTTCATACTCAGTCACATCTAACGCACTCCAATTTAATATCTTGCCACACATAAAAAACTGCCCTACTTTGTCTTCATCTTTATCTCCATCATATGCAAATACAGTTGTAATCACTCCATCTTCCTGCTCTTCAGTCAAGTCTTTTGCCTCTGCTGTTGGAGGGGCTCCAGTCTGAAACAAACCAAAGTAATGTCAACTTCAAACAATCTTAATTGAGATAATTTTCAGTAATGTATTACATATTGTCATGCCTTTTTTTGTTTGTTTGTGTGCCCACAAAGATAATATGGTTGCCTTTAAAAGTAAAAGATTTCTTCTTTTCAACTTCTTTAAGATGATGTAATATTAAAAATATTAGTAATATTTAAAAAAACATTATCTACCTGTATTTTATTTGATAAAAAAGTGCTTCAGGTGTGAATTTTTGTGTTAAATTGTTTATCAATTGTGCTCAAGCATGCAATGAGAGTTCATCTGTTCAGCATTCAAACAGATGTATAAGTGCTGTAAGTGGAAATAAGCCCAGGATTGAACTGAAAAAATGATAACGTCACTGCAGATGAATGTTTTCAAATAAAATTGATGCTGAAGAAGATAAATTTCTCAAATATCCTAATCAAATCTCACCAATTTGCATAAGAAGTGGGTTCATGCAGAATTTAGACAAACAAGCCATTGTAAAATCAAAATCATTCTTTATGTCATTATACAAGAATATCAATAAAAAAAATCATAACAAAGTTATAAGTATTTAAGTTTTTAATTATACACACAAGTTCTGCTTACAGTAGCTGCCAATGTTGTCTGTTCAGAAGATGTGGTAACTGCCTCTGTTGTCTGGGTTGCTTCAGTGGTCTCTTCAACTGAAAAACATATCACATGCCATTTCAAAGAGAAGCAACTGCTTAATCCAGGCAGACAGTTTTCTTATTCAAAACGTATCTTTTGGGTCTTCAGGTAAAATTCAGACCTTTTCCGTGTATGTATACAACTTTCTAAACAGTTATTATCTATTGATATTTCTATTGCACAAGTTGACAGTTGTGCATATAAGGCTTTTTTTAAGCATTAAAGGATAAACATCTTTAATTGGACATGGCAATTCTAACTTTATCATGTGTTCTGGGGCCTCTTTGACATATACATGTATAACAGTATATTTTTCCCCACTGGCCAAATAATTGTTCATTTTAGACCAGGACATGGATATATCTATTTTCTCTTGTTCGTCAGCTCTAATTAACTAGCTTAGAATTGTTATACTGATCAATAATCAAGGAAAGTCACCAAGTTAAACTACAGGACACAAAGTTGACCTCTTTGCCCAATATGGATTGACCAACAAAAACTGACCACACTGACAAAAATATGCCAAAGAGACCCTGTACATTTCCAAGACTATACAGATATGAGGATTTTGATTTAGTAAACAGTGCTGACCAGCGGTCAGGATTTCTGTCAGATTTTCAACTTTGGGGGCATTTTGGCTCATACATCTGTAAGTTCTTATATAACCAAAAAATAAGACCCCTTCAAGCTGTTCTGAAAGAAACCCCTCTGACTCAGGCAGTATCAGTAGGAGTGCAAACAGATGAGGCAACTAGGTAGTGCAGCTATGATTTTAGTAATTGACGTATTGTATGTGAAGATTAGACTCTTAACTTTTTTCATTTGTATATAACAAATAGCTTTGTGACTGATAACAATTATGTACATTTGGCAAAAGACTTAAATTTGCCCAAAGTATACCCTTGAAGAAACATTCCTGTCTATAGTCTAATCTACTTTATTCAAGTATCTATCAGATATATACTATGTACTCATCTATAGTGATTAGTTCTATTCAGAAATGTCACTTTTTGACCTCTGCGTACATGTACATGCTGCCTTTCAAAAAAACCTCAGAAGTTGGGTATATAAGACTTTTCCGCTCCATTTAAGTATCACATAAAAGCCTCTAGGCTCTAGCTGCCAGTGGAGCCTCAATGCACTGTGTGCCATCCTACCTATCACCTTGGTCTTGTTGGGCACCTCGGGCTTCTTGCTGTTCCTCTTACCTGTGGTGGTCTCAGGGGCAGGTGTTGTGATGGGGCCAGCCACGCCCTTCTGGGCCACACTTAACGTCTCTCCAGGGTCTGAATGAGACAGATGGAAAGTGCATGTATGTGACACAACTTTGTCATCTACGCAAAATAAGTTCCTCATTTGTTTTGGTTTCAATAGTGTGTGTGTGCGTGCGTGCGTGCATGTGTGTGTGCAGTTCTGTATAAAAGCATGTTTGTGTGTGTTTTAAAGCATGTGTGCATGTGTTTAAAATCATGGGTGCATGTGTGTGTATGCATATGTATAGGTATGAATGAATGCATGACTGTGCCTATGCTTTGCATATGACAGTGTACGTTGATTCATGTGATTTTTTTTCCTGAATTATGTGTATATGTGCATAGTACCAGCATACTTGTATGTGTACAAGCAGAATTGTCACTACTTACTCATGGTACAAAATGCAGCATTTTCCATATCCACCTCTTCAACAAACATATACAGGAAGAAGCTGCCCAAACCACGGCCACATTTCGTCATCTTAAGGTTCTTCCTGGCAGTACAGCAGTCTACATAGCCTGCTTCTTTTAGTACACTGATTGTACAATAGGTGGCGTTGATTTCTTCTCCTGCATCAGGAGGTGGAGTGCCAGCTAGGTTCACTCTTAGAGGGAATAGTGTGCTGCAGTATCCACTCTGGCATTAAAAAATATTTACCTTTATTACTTATAGAAACATGTATTATATACTGTGCATTGTTACAGATATTGCTGTGTTTACTTGTCGTAGTATGAATACTCTCTCTCTCTCTCTCTCTCTCTCGTTCTCTCTCTCTCTCTCGTTAACAACGTAGAGATCGACCCATCTTTCCCGACTGAAAAAACTTCAGTAAAGAATTGCCAACATGACAGTAGTCAAAACATGTTAGATGTTAGATATATTGTCTAATACCTTATGAACAACAAAATAACAACTGTGAACAATTGATATAGAAAATGCAAGTGAATGAGTTGGCTCTCTCTGACTCTCCTCTCTCCTGAGCTCTGTATATATAAAAATTATGTGTACTAGTACTGGCAAAACACTCTCTCTCTCTCTCTCTCTCTTTCTCAATGTCTACTGAGCCCATCCACATTATGCATTTCTTCATTGTACCAAGGAGTTATAACTCCTTGATTGTACCTACATTAATACATTCTGTTGGTATTTCTGCTGGTTTCCCTTGGATTTCAAACTTGTACCATGACGTACTATCCAGCTGACCTTTGTCTGACAGGTATTGGGTTCTCTCTTGGTTGTTCACATGCCTCGTCAAATCAACAATTAACTTGTGACCATTTGGGTCACATGGGTCAACTGAAGAAAATAATTGAAATATTTGATCATCTTTTTAAATTTCAAAAGAAAAAATTGTTTAATTATATTTGCCTTTTAATTCATCACTGAAATTAATTCTTAAATGAATCAAATACTTAGTTGCAGAAAAATTTTGATCTCCATAGAATTATCATGAATGACATCTATTAACTTTTCAATCATCTTGGTTTTTTAAATGCAGAATTCTATTTGTTGAAAAAAAGGTCTATCCCATTAAGTTCCTTTATCTTGAATAGAAATACGGTTTGCACCAGTCAATACTTTGCATGAAATGAAACTTTAATTATAACATTAATAATAATGATATAAAAACCAATTAAAATTTTGTTAATATTAAAATCTTTCAGTTTTTTTTTTTTTTTAATTTCATAATCATTCATTAATTTCTATTGGTTAACATACAACAGCAACCCATGACTTTATTAATATCATTATTATTTCAAATCAAATTAGTATTTTTCTACACAACACAGTAAAACTTCAGTTGGAACAGTTTCAGTTGGTGGTGAAATTTTGGCATTTTCTTTTTACAAATATAAAACAATGTCAAAGTTACTTTCAAAACAGCAAAGTGTCATGAAAGGTCAAAATTAAGACTAAGACAATGAAATATCTTCTAACATGCAGACCAAAATTTTTCTTTTTATTTAGACATAGGGGGCCTTAGAAAAACAAGAGGGGGTCAAGAGAAAGGATGCGCATCCCTTCATCCTTTCTTTTTTGAAAAATTTATGTAAATTTATATTACACCATAATTTTTTGGCATTTCTGACCAGTCTTAGTTCCCAAATGGTAATTAGGAACAGGGGTTAAGTCTGCCACTCTGTTCTCACCCCAACTGAAACATGCACTGCTTGGAAATAAGCCAAGGTGAGATTAGCTTAAACAATTAGAATTCTATTGAGGAACTTTTTCTGGTCTACAGCAAATTTTACCAGCATTACAGTATATCCATTATTTTCTCAACCTGTTCAAATATCAAATTCTTAATGTGTAAAAATGCTATCAATGCTTAAAAAAGAAAAGAATGAAAAAACTACAAGTAGTAATGATTTACAGTATGTGCCATTATTATAACTTCTTTTAAATCCTTTACTATTGATCATCATGACAAATTGAACATATTAACTTCACCACTTTCTTTTGTTCCTAAGTAAACTTACAGAGATCTTCACAATGACATTGAAAGGCACAAATCTAACTTTCTTAAAAACTTAATTTTGCAAGACTAGGCAAGATTAAGAAAGAACAGAACTGCACAGAAAAATATTCATCATTTAAAGTGATACACTGTAACTGACTCAAACCAAGGAACATAACACTAGCCATAAAATGAGTCAGGTCCTTTGCTAGTTCTGATTTAATATATTATAACAGGAAATATGCCCTTGATGACAGCAACATATACTGCAACATTAGATATGTCTCAACTAGTAGGTGGCAGCAGTACACAGTGCTGTACAATCCAAAATTAGAGGGCAGTATCATACATTAATTTTGCAGTAAAAACATATTTTTTCTGCCCTATAGATGGCAGCACTTTACAGTAAGATACCAACTACAGCTAATCTTACCTGGGCCTGCAATAGTGGTCACAGACTGTGTGGTTTCTTCTGTTGTAATTTCTGTAGTCGCTTGCTCCGTGGGTAGAACAGAGGGCATTTTAACCTCCTGGGTTGTTGCCTCATTTGTTGAAACTGTGGAGACTGTAACATTATCCTGTATACTTTGTGTTGTTGTAATTGATACAGTTGCTGTGGTATTGGAATCTACAGAATCAAATGTTAGTGGTGTTGTAAGAGGAGAGTTTGTTGTCTCAAGCTGGGTAGTTTCTGAAGCAGCAGTTGTTACAGCAACAACACTGATGTTATTGTTAGTTGTTACTGGCTCAGCAGTTGTAACTGCTGCCCCTTCTGTAGTCAAAGATTCTGTTGTATGAGCAGAAGCTGTTGAGTTAATAAAATTTCCAGTGCTCTCAGCTGTCTCTGTTGTGACATCAGCATTTCTCGTTACATCTACCGCCTGTGTAGAATCCACTGTAGGTGGTGCTGTTGTCCCATCCACCATAACCACAAGAGGAGCCTCAGTTGTTTCTGTCTGCAAAGTGGTCTGTTCCTCTGCAGCAACAGTTGTTTCTACAGCTACCACTGTAGTCTCCTGAACAGTTTCTGTAGTACTTCCCAGGCCGGAAGATGTAACTGATTCCACTGTGGTCTGTGATTCTGTCTGCATCACAATCTCTGAAACTGTGGATGCCACTGTTTCCGCTTCTGTTTCTGTTGTGGCTAACGCAGCCTGTGTGGTTCCTGGCTCTAGCTTTGTTGTCTGTTGCTGGACGCCCGTTGTGTCTACCATAACACTGGGGGTCTTCACCTCTGTTGTTGCCACAACCACTGTTGTCTGTTCTGGGCTTTCCGTAGAAACAGGAGGGACTTCTGGTGTTTCTGTAGGTAAACGCATTGGTCCTGTGGTCTGAACTGCTACAGCAGTGGCAGTGACAGCAGAATTGGTTACTGTAAAGCAGGAGTTAGATCTATTAGTAAAACTCTCTGTTAAAGAAGTTAAAGTGAAAGGATGCACAAAAAAACCAAACATGCCCTTCACCAGGGCCATATACATGTCATAGGTTAATAACAGTTCATCCTTCGGATATGCATGTGTACATGTAGTAAGCTGTAAAAAAATTACAACACTTAAATGTTTATGAACATTTCTACCATGAAAAGCAAGTAAGTAATCTAATTTCACATACAGTGGATGCATATTAAGATGGTATATGCAAAAAATAATTATAAAATAACAATAATAAATGAGGTCACACGTGAAATTCAGGAAAACATTACTTAAATCTAATACATATAACAATAACACAGGCAACATATGTTAGACTAATAGGGTGTCATATTAAAGCAGGATCTTACTTTTAACTATTGGAATGAAGACATTTTAAACACATGCACGTGTTAATTGCTTTGTTATAACAGATTGTGATGTAAACATCATGTCCAACTTTGACCTAATCACCAGTGACCATTAACCAAGGGCTTCTCCTAACATTGAGTAAAATACAGAATTTTTTTAAATATTTTTTGTATTTTTTGTTTGAAATAATAATAATAATAATAATAATAAATAAAAAAATACAGAAAAGCTGGTGATTAACTGAGTTCATTGAAAACAAGAGGAAGCATGTTAATCTGTGAAATGATTGCTTTCAGCAAAAGTCCCTGCAGAGTTGGGCTGATTTACATAGACCGATAGTTTCAATGGGAATAAGCACTTAAACAACTATTGAGATTAGCTGAAATGCTGAAAGGTGGAGTGCAATGTGGAATATACTGCATAGGAAAGAACTTGGAAATTAGGAGCAAGGTCTAATTTCACAAAAGAACTCGAGATGGAAAGTTAATATTCTTTCATTCAGAAAAATATCTGTAGCAGTCTAGTCAAAATAGAGTAACCACTGATCTAAGGACCAATAACTATTACAGGGATAACAACTGTTTATAAGAGATTCATATTTCACAATAAATCCATTTTAAACAACTCACAGAAATATTATAAATTCCATATTACCAAAAAAAATTCCATATTACCACCAAAAAGCGGTTATTGCATGCAATTATTTTTTGCAATCTGTGCTTGCCATCAGACCATATGGACCTTCACAGATGGCTTATACTTCCATAATAATCTCTTCAAAGGTAATAACAAAAAAATGCTTCAGAAAAAAAAACATGGACTAACATTGAATATCAGAATGGATCCATTGATAAGTATGGGAAAATCTTTGTTTACCCCAAAATGAACAGTTGTTATCCTTTAATTTTATCAAGGAAACATCTTGCAATTTCAAACCTAATGTATATAAGACCCTGGGTGCAAAACAGGTATTGAATGCTTTCATTGAAAAAAAGAATAATTCAGTAGTCCTTTAGAGACTAAGCCCCTATTCAGAATAGGGGACTAACTAGTCCGGGGGTGAAATTTGGCAAAGCTTGCCATCTAATCCACTAATAGACACTGAATGGATATCCTGTGGGGAGGTATTCAAGTGGGTCTGCCATATTGATCTTTGGACTAGTTAGTCCCCAATTCTGAATGGGGCCTAAGGTTGTGCTACACTTGTGTGGTTAATTCTGACACAAAAACAGAGGGCTCTAGCTCTAACATGACAAGCCAATCATAAATTTGGAAGGCGTTAGTTCTAACAACAGAGCAAACCTATCAGTTGGTTAACTGTCATTACCTAACTACGTATTAGTTATTCATTATTAAACTAAATGTTATACTAAGTATTAGCGAGCCATTAATGAGATGGGGATCAGTTCTTGATTCTATACCTGCTCCAGGTTTTAAACCATAACACCATGGCACGGTACCGTCACAATCACGACATGGTACCCAACAGCACCCCATGTGTTCACATTCATCCTGTGTAGTTCCAATCCTTCCACAATCTCGATGTATCACTGGGTCATAAGCACCGCACGCTATGGAAAATGGGGTCAATTTTTTGTGTTAAAGAATGACAATTCTGCATCTTTCTTGCTCTAGTTTTCATTTTGAATATGCAGTTAAATTCTCCAAAGATTCACTACATGATATGATGCAGAAGAAGCAATTTCGGTATAATATAAAATACCAAACATGTCTACCAAAACATAGTTCCATGGCACAGCACAGCTCAAAACTAGCAAAATGAAATATGCTCAATTCACATTCTAGATGCTAGTGAAACTTGTGGTATTTTTAATAAGACTAGAAAGTACAACACTGCTAGATTTAAAAAACACTGCTACCTCTTCTTATAGTGTAGACATTTTTTAATCTACAGGATGGTGTGCAAAATCATTAATAATGTGGTATGACTAACTGAACTAATTATCAAAATACAACCTAAACCAACAATTCAGTCCAATGCCTTACATCAACCATAAAGCGAAGCAAAAATTTTATGGTACATGTAATTGCTAGCTAACTTAATTAAACATCTCACTTATAGATAATGTTTTCAATAGATATTATCTGAACTAATCACAATAGCATATTTTCTATAATAACTGAGTCAATTAATACTAAGTGTGAACAAAACTGGGAAGAGAAACACATATTAAGTGCAGAATTTCAACAGAATGTGAAGTTGCAGGTGACCCAAATGTGATAAAAGTGACAAGCTGAAATGAGTGAAACTAAAGTGAAGAAGGTGGTTTTAGGAATTACGATGCAAGTGCATGGATATTGGTGAAGTGCAACATACCAATAGGAAAGTGACCGAGGAAAAATTGCTGCTGATAAAGATTTAAGTGCCACTGATTGTGATAACAATGAGACTAAATAATGGATCTAACTTGTTGTACCTTTACATGCACAGAGAGGGAAATGGAAATGAAAGTACACCTGTACAAACCAGAAATTGCAACAAAAAGCACTTGATGAAGAGGTTGAGAGAAAAATGAAGTAATTGGTTTACTAGTCAGACACTTGAAAAGTGCATATTTTACACACATTTTTAAACAATGAAATTGTAAGTGAACCATATGAAATTGGCATACAAACTGTGACTATCAGAAATCAGTGTAAAGGGAAAAGTTGTGACTCAAGTGAAAGTGAAAACAAATTGAAATTTGATATATTGTGATTTAAGCAGAAAATGAAACTGAAAGTGGAAAAAATGGAAGTGCTCAGAACAGCAAGTAAAACATCAAGTGACCAAAGTAAAAGAGACAACAAACTCAAATCGTAAGAAAAGCTGTGGATACCAGAATTGTCTCTGTAGCACACTGGAGCACCCTGGGAGATCTCACAATTCCCTGTACACTGTTGCCAACAACAGCCAGCCAGGGCACAGCTGATACGCAGGGTGCCTACGTCACAAACCACATGACGGGCAGGGTTATATGGTGTGCACACTTTAAAGCAAACACAGAAGAAAATGCATCAGTGGCATAATCGGTTGCTACCTCTGGCTCAACCCAGAGAGATTTTTCTTCATCTGAATAGGNATCATGCTGATTTTCGAACTTGACCTGCGTATTATGAATATTCATCAGTTCTGCAAGTTTCAAGTCAAAAGGTAAAATGGTTTTCCACTTATCGTGTTATCGGTAAAAGTGCACGGCGACGACGGCGACGACGGCGACGACAGACGCAGATGATGGCAATATGTACAGACACATCTGTGTCTGTACAAAAAAATGGAAGTGCTCAGAACAGCAAGTAAAACATCAAGTGACCAAAGTAAAAGAGACAACAAACTCAAATCGTAAGAAAAGCTGTGGATACCAGAATTGTCTCTGTAGCACACTGGAGCACCCTGGGAGATCTCACAATTCCCTGTACACTGTTGCCAACAACAGCCAGCCAGGGCACAGCTGATACGCAGGGTGCCTACGTCACAAACCACATGACGGGCAGGGTTATATGGTGTGCACACTTTAAAGCAAACACAGAAGAAAATGCATCAGTGGCATAATCGGTTGCTACCTCTGGCTCAACCCAGAGAGATTTTTCTTCATCTGAATAGGTAAAATGTTTTAGCCTATTCAAATGTTTAAAATAGTTTTAGTCAATGCCAATTGTTAAAGCCAAACCAGGGACTAATAATCGACAAAGTTTTTTTTTTAGTCCATTTTCTTGGACAAAGTATATAGTCTTTATATGAAAATATACAAGTAAGTGTGAGCAAAGTATTTGCAAGCATGTACAATTATAATGCATATTTTTTGCAATATAGATATTCTACATGCCTACAAACTGAAAAACAATAAATGAATGTAGTCAAGAGACTTGGTACACAATTATCAAAAAAATGCATATGATGCTAAAATACATGCTACACATTCATCATAAACTCAACTATTCAGGCAAAATAAACATTCCACAATGTCAAATGACATAAATTGCTTCAGCTGAGCTAATTCAATACACAATATACATATTGCTGTAGTTGTATGATGTCACCCTCAAACACAATGGCACTGAATTGGGATTTCACTTCATGTACACACATAATATAAGAAACAAAATGTAACATATCTTTGACTGCTGATGAATGCAGTAACACAAAGCATTAAACAAATGCTGATATACCAAAACAAACATTGGGTTTATAGGGCAAATGTGATACAAACTAAGGAAGAAAAGTGGTAGTGAATTATTTATATCAGTTAATTTTAGACTTAATTCAAGATAAGGTTAAAAGAACAGACACAAACACTCCATTAATCATATTAGTTATAATTTCTACATTTTTAAAAAATTTGTTAATCATATGTTCATTATGAAAATAAATAAGTCTACATTCTTTGTGATCAGCATTTACGGTTGTCACAAGCGTTTCAAGGTCAACTCTTACCTGGCACATCAGTGATATCACCACCATAAGCAGGAACTGTGGCAAATACTGAAACAAAAAATTTAAATAAAATTATAAAAGATTAATAATGTTTAAAATTTAATACATATCCATACCAATCTCTTCATACTGTAATCGCACTTAATAAATTTAAACAAAGAGACTGAATAAATAATATTCTTCAAAACAATGTTTTGTTAAGAATTCATAGAAATGATGATTCTAACATTGCAAACGGTTGGTTTTACATCAGAAAAAGTAAAATAATGGAATGACCAGCCATATGACATATTCAAGTAATTCACTTAATCTATAACTCAGTATGTGTGTGTGTGTGTGTGTGTGTATGCATGCGTGCGCATGCAATGTGTGTGTGTGTGCATCATCACCACCAAATTCACAAATTTATAATCACGCTCAGATAACAATGATATAGCATTAATATTCCAGATAAAAAAATTTGGCCTTGAGTCTTTCCAAAGGCATAAACAAGTGAAAGGGCACTGGCTGTGAGTGATATCTCTAGACACACTGTCATAACAATATGAAATACACTCCATGAGCATGGTGATTATTACACAATCTTTATCTTGCCACACATGTTGGGAAATTCATCATCTTTCAGGCATGTTGCAAGGATCACGACAGCCATATTTATAATTCCTTTGAACTTCCCCTTAATTCCTGGAAAAAATGCAGACTATTACATGTAATAAGACCAAGATAACACTTTAATCTGCCCTAGGTTCTCCCCTTCTTCCACCTTTGTGTATACTCAAGTAATTTGGTATATTTACACAAAACAAAGTATTCTTTAATTTCCATATCAAAAGTAAGGGGTTTAGGCTTGCTGTAGATCTGTAAGCTTTTCACACCAAATAGCATAAATCTTCTTGAGGAGAAAATACATGTATGTCAGTGTGTGGCAACTCATACCAAAAAAACAAATGAGTCAAATAACCACAATGTTCCAATGTCTCAAAAGTTAATGAGATTATGTACAATGTGTGATGATCTAAGAGAATACATTCTAATAGTTATAAAAGATCAAAATACACTTGACTGTTGCTCAGTTTACAAGATCATAGAATTGCCCACTTGTATTTGGCCAGTTGCTGGCGATTTCCTCTGGAATAAGTTGCAGTTTTGTACTGTTAACCTAATTTCCAAGTAATGTCATAAAAGGAAATATGTAGAATCTGACTGGGAAGGTTACTCAGGATAATGATAAATGCATCCCTGGTGAAACTTAAATTGGTAATTGGTACTAATTGAATAAACGAGTTGAAAAATGACTGTACTTGAGGTGAAAAATGTATCTTCACACCGTATGAAATGAATGAGGAAATAGCTACTTGAAGTCGTTTCCTTAAATAAGATGTGCATGGCTTCAGATGTTAAAACAAATACTGACAGTTCATGTTCGTCCTGACCTGGTGCATTCCAAAGTGGGACTGGGACTTGGGTCCTGGTCCCAGTTTCACAAAAAACTTAAGTCAGGTTCCCTGGCTAAGAACTTAATTACCACGGTTACATGGTCACATGGGTACATCTTACCCTATCAGGAGCAGTGTAACAGCATTCACATGGAGATCTTAGTCAACTTAGTCAACTAAGTCAGGGAACTAAACCATTGTAAGAAAATAAGATTCATACAGAACCCCCCCCTCCCTCCCCCCATCCTTCTAATCTCAAGTCAACTTTTTGGTTTGCTAGCTATCAACATTTTTTATCTTCATTTTAAGTGATGATTGATTGACTGATTAATTCAACACAGGTGCATTTTGCATAAAAACTTACTTTTGCTAATTGCCATTCATGCACCATAGAGACTCAACGTCCTTCTTTTTTCTTCAAAAAAAAAAACAAAAAAAAAACAGTATCTCCTGCAAGTCTGTGTCATATCAAATTGTTTGAGGCAATTATATATGATTTACTTTTGTTTGTCAGAATGAAAGAATACCATTTGTCATCAGTCTGCGCACATGAATTTCATAGAAAAACAAGTGCGACACCCTGTCTTTAGCTCTTCCCTTTTTTTTTTCATTGTGACAAAATGCTTGGAAAATGAAACTTGTGCTAAAATGAGGGGGTGCAGAAAGTAAACTCGAACGTGTCTTCTCTGACCTGACATTTTCAGCAATGGAGCCTCTTTGTTCCTGAGCTGACTCTGTACGCTATCATTTCTGATATATGTGAAGACTGTGAAAAGCTGAGAAAACCACACCACCTCAATCAGACCTCATGGGGCACAGTTTACTTCACAACATGTATCTGTATATCTTAAAAACTTTTTGATGTCTTGGGCTCTTTCTAGATCACTGTTTGTTTCAGAAAATTAGTTCTTAAGTAAAATCAGTGTTTTGTTGACAAAAATATTTAAATTCAAATTCTAACAATAACTAACAACATGTATTATTCATGAAAATAAAAAATGACCATTTGCTAAACATATAGTGTACTCTTTTGTTTTCTCTTCTGAGTCATCTACATCTTTCTTTTCCTTTATTCATAGTTTTTTGACATTGCCATTTTGAAAAAACACTTGATTTTATTATCACCATTTTCCTGCATCAAGAGATCATTTATATTTTCAGGTTTGTATAAACAGATGTTTTGGAATCAGATGTTTCACTGCCCCCCCCCCCCTACCCCCCCCCGAACAAACCCCAACGTAATCTTTATTTTTTGGCTGTATTTGTACAGCAAGATAGATCTTCTCTTTTATCTCTATTGAAGCAGGCATGGTACATCCGCTCTTCTTCTTTATTCCTGAAAAGCTGTAAATCATACTTCAGTGAATGCCAGGATGAGTCACTTTTTAGGTTCGCAATTCTCCCCACCCCCTTTCCATATGATAAAATATGGAAAAACTCAACAAACATAAAATCAACTGATATTAAAATTGTCAGATCTAGACAGTCCCTACTTTTCCAAGTAATGTTAGCAACCATCTATGCTTGTTAATACATGTACTGTACTTTTTTAATATCATGATTTACAGTTTAATTCCACCTTCATTTCTGCTTAACCCCCTCCCCCCCAATCGGATATGTTGTGTGAAATCCCACCTTGTATAAATATCATTATTTTTAGGATAATTCTTAATAAATTTTACACAAAACATTTTCCAAGCATTTTATTATCTCATGATTCATTATCCTGAGTAACAAAGTAATAACAAAAATCAAACTTTAACCATCTTATTTAAATGTTTCCTTTTTCCAAAAAATAAAGTCAAAATTTAAGGAACTACTGATTAAATATCACTTTAGACCACTGTAGGGAATATTTTGCTTAAAATAATTGAGAACTTACCACACTAACAAAGATAAAAGTAGCATGACTCAAGGCTGAAACTTCTTGATAAATGTTTGGTTAATTTTAAATCAATTGTTTTTGTTTTGTGAGACGTGAATTTGTAAAGCTGCACCTTGCTTTGTATTAGACATAACTTCATCAAGCTGACTCAAGAATTCTGAACACAAAAACAAGATTATTTTTGTTTTTATAACAAGCTTCCAGCTGAATGAAACCTGGCAAAACACTATATGATACTGCATGACATCTGATCTTTATTAGGGAACACAATGAATCAAGAAATAAAAAATTTGTTTCAAGAAAAGAGAGAACGTTCATCACTAGCTGTCTTAATTTCAAGGCAAAGTTGGTAACAAAGTGTGTGTGTGTGTGTGTGTGTGATAACTGTGTGGAGTTATTGCCTTAATTCTAGTGTGCATGCATTAAAATACGTCATTAATACAGTTACAGTGTACATGTATAAAATGTACCCACTAAATGCACACTAAAATTGAGGCATTCAATAGTTCAACACCTGAGCAATATTTCATAGGCATATTTGAGAGGAAGAAAGTCAAGATTTGTAGTTACTCGATACATTTTGAACATAATTCTCTCTAATAGAGACAAAATCTCAAAACTCACCAACGGTACCTTCTCAACATACTTCTGGTTTGAAAGTTCACACCAGTAAATTGGAAGGCATGAGAGAAAGATGACCTCATACCTTAAGAGGCAAAATAGACTAAACAAAGTAAACACACTAAAATATGAAAAGCAAGAAATATGTGTATAAATAAATAAATAAGATCTGACTTTGGTATGTGTAACATCAAATTCATAAAACAGAACAATAAATCCTTGTATAATTCTTGTGTGGCTATATCTTTTATAGCCTCCCACGCAGGCTTTTTAACCCTTACACGAACTGCTTCAGGTCATATAATGATCACAATAAAATCAAAACCAGCACCACCTATATTAAATCACTTTTTCACAATGCCGAGGTCTCACATGAATCTCTACTATAGCCACAGCAAAATTTTATTCAGTTTACTTTCGCTTTAAAAAAATTCAATCTCTATTCAATGTCTCGCCTTTGGTTTGATATCTGTGTCTCCATCATGACGAAGGGTGTGTTGTCGTAGATGATGTCCAACATTTCTGCCGTTACTGGCACTTTAGCAGCAGGGAATTCCATTATCTTAATTGGTCGGAAACAGTTAAGTGATTGTTTCCACAACTTAAGCTAAACCTGGGCAAGAATTGATGCTGACATGGTCCTAAAAGTGAAGCTAATGACACTTTATCGAGGGATACCGAGAAGCATTGAGCTTGATGATTGGTTGGGGCAAGATTTTATGATTTTATTCAAATCTATCTATTCTTAAAGCAATCCAAGCCAGGATTTTGAACACAGTTATAAGTTCATAAATAGCTTCTTGTTGAACTTATCTGAGGAAAATTAAGGCTTTAAAAACATATACTGGCACTGTACCAATCATTATCTCTCTCCTTGGGTCGTACACATAGTGCTCGGGTAAAAATATGTATATTTCTCAGGTCACAATTACCGACACTCAGATTTTATACAGTATGGCAACTGACACAAGGATCATGGGGAAAAGGTAACATTAACAAGAATTGAGGTTGATTTTTCATTTTATTTTGACCATTTCAAATAAAAGGGAAAAAACAGCCTTTTTTTTCATTTTTTGACATATTGGAAATCACTCCCCCCTCCCAAT